TGACTTGCGGTTAAAATAGACGTAATACCGGGGGCAAACTGTACATTCCACGAACAGTTATGGTAATAACATTAAAACTCATTAACTTTATGGAATATAATAGGTTACAAATGGGTGATTCTAATATATTTAAAAGGTACACGTCAGAGGTTTTAGTTTGAAGTCAAAATGGTATAGTGCTTATAACAGAAAATCCAATTTCTTAAAATTACACTAGGTTGGAGAATTTTAATCTTATAAATATACTGCATTGAAAATGTTCTAACAGATTTCACAAATATTGCTTTTAAGCAAGTTATTTTTAATCTTACATATTTTTTATATGAATACCCCAAATCTATTAGAGCCCCATTCATTCATAACAGTAATGTATTCTTATCTTTTATGTAGAAGTTATTACAAATATGTTAATGTAAACTTCATTCAAGGTTAAATGGTATTTATCAGATGATTTTAACCCACAGAAGACACGCCCACTTTTCTCATTCCATTTCAGAAAATAAAGCTGGTTTAAGCACGCAGTTATTATTTGCCTAAGAAAAACAAAAACAGAAATAATTAAGAGGGCAGCACGTAACTTGATAGCGTTGTTTATTCGCATTTTCCTCTCTAGTTTATTATTGTTGTTGACAATCGAAAGCGGAATAACAAAAACAAATTGATATATTACCAGGAATTGGGACCCCCACGGGTTCCATGGGTTCTTCAGCGAGGTTCCAAACTCCATTCCTAACAATAGTGTTCAATGTCGTAGCAGCTTTTGATAGTGTAACTGATAAGCGAACGTTATGTGACTTGTTTTTCAACTATGTATGGGGTTAACCGATTATATAGTTCCGATCGTGTCACATAATTCCGGATTTTTAGATAGGTCTCAACCTTAGCTTTCGCTGTTCCGCGATTCATCTTGTGCGGTGGCCTGATTTTGTTTTACGTCAATTTATGGAATACAACAAAATTATACAAGATTCCATGAGTGTATTCTAACCTTATCATTTTCTTAGCTGTAGGCCGTTTATTTTCATCTAATCAAAATATTTGGAAAGTACAACTAGCGTGTGGCACTGCGGGGAGCTCGATTTCTTATCAACAAGGCACATGGCACACGCGTAACTATTATTTTTATGAGTAAAATATGGGAGCATAGGTTCAATAAATATTTACCTTTCAAAGTTCTGTAAGCCAACCAGAAGTTACTAGGGTTTAAGTATCCCAATAAAATGTTTGTAATTTCCTTCTCTGATTTAAACAATATGATACTAATATTAGGGAAAAAATATGGGTCATATATATTTTGTTTTCAAATAGCAGATCTTATCAGCAAGTAAAGGTTTAAGAATCGTATGATAGAGCCCTATTATGAAACTATTTTAGTCCAATTCTCAAACTCAAGTTGTACCATATGGTGGGATCCATGGTTGCTTATCAGCTCCATAAACTGTTGGTTGGGGGTCGAGTGGCAAATAGAACAAAACAAACACTTTCAAACCACTCAAGGTTCGTACGTCATTTCCCCTCATAAACGGGGCGGGAAATGGCCTACAACAATAACACTGCCAAGAGCACCAATTGACCCTTTGGATGACACAATGACGCAAAAGCCACGGGCATCATCAGACGCAGATCAACAATCTGTGGGAAATGCGGGATGAGATAGCCCACTGAACCCGAAAATGTCAATAATTTATAAGCTTGATTAGCAAGGGTATGGAATAAACAGTCGATCTACACCAAGTCTAACTGGAAATGTTCTAGAACTATTATTAGATTGATAGATCGAAGTGCTAGCTTTTCTGAATAGTTATGAATTTAATTTCGAGAACACGAGATGGGGATCATGACTGTTATAATGCAAAGTCCAACTTTTTATAACCCAGCTATTACTAAGATTTAATAGAGAGTTTTTGCTAAACACTTTCCTTTATATTTTACAGGTAGCATGACTTCGGATTTCTTTAGGGTAGTGAACGAGGCACGTCGCTATTCTCTGGGTCCCTTCAGTCCCTCCTTCAACATCCAGACCTGCTTGCTGGAGGGTCTACAGAAGCATCTACCAGACGATGCCCACAAGAGGGTTAATGGACGCCTCCACATCTCCCTCACCCGAGTTTACGATGGAAAGAATGTGATCATCTCTGAGTTTGAGTCACGGGAGGAGGTTCTCCAGGCGCTGTTGTGCGCCTGCTTTATCCCAGGATTCTCTGGCATATTGCCTCCCCGTTTCCGTGGAGTTCGCTATATGGATGGAGCCTTTTCGGATAACCTGCCCATTCTGGACGAGAACACCATCACGGTGAGCCCGTTCTGCGGGGAGAGTGATATTTGCCCCAGGGATCAAAGTTCGCAGCTCTTTCATCTAAATTGGGCCAATACCAGTATTGAGATCTCCAGACAGAACATCAATCGGTTCGTGCGGATCCTTTTCCCGCCGCGTCCAGAGTTTCTGTCCAAGTTCTGTCAGCAGGGCTTCGATGATGCCCTGCAATTTCTGCACCGCAACAATCTTATCAACTGCCGGCGCTGTGTGGCGGTTCAGTCCACATTTGTGGTCTCCGAGACGGTGGCGCAGCCCCAGGAGTTCGATCCCGAGTGCAGGGAGTGCAAGAAGCATAGAAAGGTGAGGATTCAGAATAAGTTTACTATAACTTTTGATTTGATTTAATTGTTTTTACCCTTACTAAATATTATTTTTCTTCTTTTCCAGGACGCTTTGAGCTCAAATATGCCTCAAACAGTGCTGGATGTGATCCAGGACTATATCGAGCAAGCCAATAAGGGTCTGGCCAACTGGATTTTTAAGCATCGCGGTATTAAGTTGCTTTCTCTGCCCGCCACAGTGCCCATGGACTTTCTCCTGGCGACCATTTCAAAGTAGGTTTACAATATGTCATTGTATAAAACCAATTTATTAAATATTATATTTTATAACTTTTTCAGAATATCAGCACTGACACCCAAACTTACCAAACAAGCCAGAATCATGGTGGAGGACTTTATTCTTCAGTTAAACGACGCCATGCGGATACGCCTGCTAAATAAATTCACGGTAAGTTAATTAAATGCTTTCATTGTGATCACTTGGTTAAATAAGCAACTAAAGTGCACTTAAAGGTGAAGGGGTAAACTATGATTTGAAATTCGAATGAATGAATTTTTAAATGTGTCTTGTAATTTAACGAACAACCTTTTTGTTGCAGCTTTATGACCAGCCTCACTTTGATGCCACAGGACTTCTACATTCCAGCCGTTTATATGGACCTCGAGTATCCATTCTTGTGGATGAATGGTGAGTTGGTCTATTATAATCCTCCCCCAAAAAATGGTTAAACTAATATATAATTTCCTTTTTAGTGGAGCAACCCCATTGGAGGACGATGTCGACAACTTTGAGCATGTCCTCAAGATGACCACGCACAACGACGCTCTCTACGCCTATTACTACACCGACAATAATACGAACAAGGTTAAAGTAACCGAGATTTTCGACTTCGACGACATGACGGAGCACGACGAGCTGGCCACCGACCTGCAAATATACGAGGGATCGGTTGAGGATCACCCCAATCCCCACCAGCACAGCCACAATACAGTGGTCAGCGAATGGAATGGCGTTGAATCAGGTTAGTATCTAAACTAAAATCACCCTTATTAAGCCAAATATCACATCATTATGTAGATAAATCGTATCATTTGCAAATTGAATCAACACCATTTTTTGCAGTACAAATTATGCCCACGACTCCTGAACTACACGACGTAGCCTTTTAATGCTATCTTACACAGTTATCCAAAAACTAAATGACTATAAATGCACCTTCATTACCCTTCACCCACTCAAGCATTAAGTCAAAATTTTAAATCATTGGCAGGTAAATGATCTAAATTATCAATCGATTCCCCTTTATTCCCATTAAAAAAGTATAATTTCATTTAATTGACTTTCGAATCGTAACACTAATGTATATGTTTCTTTCCAATGCTCCACAGACTTCTTTATCGACGCCCAGACGCCAACTGTGGAGGATAGTAAAACAACCGCGCCTCAATTTTCCCGCCTGGATCTGGAGCCCGAGTCCGATGCTAGCGTCCACAGTGATCCTGAGGTTGATCAGAGTTTTGGCACCTCAACGCACAGTACCGATATGTATATAGAAATGGAATGAGACGGGATATGAAGGAAGGGGTATTTCGGGGGGACTAGTCCTAGGAACTGTAACGAAACATCTCCAAAGCGGCTCGTAGCAAAGCGAAAAGCCTAGTAGCGTTTCCATTAGTCTAAGTATTAGTCTTAGTACGACCAACGTATGTACCTAATTTAACTTAGCCGTTAGCTGCCATTGTATCATCGCCAGTTCGTAAGCGGCAATTAGCAAATAATTGCAATCTTGTTATTTAGTCACCCTCACACGACTTGTATTACATCCAAATCCCATCTGTGTTTAGCCTAAGTTGATAATGTATAAACAATATAGCAATAAACAAGATTTCTATAATGATTGTTGTTTAAGTCGGTGAGAGATGTGGTTAAAGTTCGCATGGAAGAAAGTTACAACACGCTTTAAAAGCATACAAATCGTTTATGTTGAAGAACTGGAAAGTAAATCAGTATTCTTAAAATTAGAATTTGTTTTCTTTAGTGTTGTTTCACAGAGGTCCTTAAAAATAAAAAGGAATTTTATGATTCAATATACTTGGTTTTAATTCGGATATTTAACAAGGTTTAAGGTTTTTTTTAAATGATACTCTGATAATTTTTTAATTTTGTTTCAAGTTCAAATTCGGTTATATTTATCGATACCCAATGTAGTCGATAACAACCCCAAGGTATCGATGCTAAGTGAGTACTAAGGCACTTGGTAATTTCTAGATTTCCCACAACAGTCACACACTGATTATTATTTTTTCTTGTAGCCGACTTATTGTTTTGATTTTGGTTAATTAATTGCCAGCAATCAGCTTAAATTGTGTGTTAAATAGAAGGGCAACTGGGCAGTCACAATATGGAGGCGGTGCCGCGTTTGCATATGCTGTGGTTCGCCCTGAAATCGAGTCCCGAAGGAACCTCCTTTGCGGCTTTGAAGAAGGTAAAGTGAAGAGCGACTAAAAGGGGAGTGAAATAATTAAGAGAGTCAGAAAAACAAAGAGGAGACTTTATTATGAACTTAATTATCGGTCAAATGACGAAAATGCGTTGTTTTTTGGATACTTTGGTTTCGTATTATTCCTCCTTATGGTGCCATTGCATTTTCCAAAGCTGCCCCGTTTTCCCTACTTTTAAGCCCCCCTTTGTCTGGTAATTTGTCTGGCGACTGAGTCATCGCCGTCATCTGATCAACTCTACAAACAATGAGTTATAAACAAACAAACAGAGAATCGTGGGTAAATGCACTCACGAACCTTTTAGCTTATGGAAAACCCTTTCCCAATAAGAGTTTTCAGTGCATAACAAACATTGAAGGATAGTTTGAGGGTCTGTTACCTGGAAAAAGCTTATAATATGAACCGTTAGTATGGGAGTTGTGGGATATATTCATACTATAAATCTAATCAAACAATAAAATCTAATCTAATTCTACCATTTCTATTGACATTTTTTAATAAGCTTGAAAGGTCACTAGGATTAGTGTTAGGACTTTCACTAAACTGTTAGAATAAACCTTAATTAAAAGCAACAATTAAAATGACCCTCATTACATTCCAGTACATTGCGGAATTCTACCATGAGGACCCAGAGGCCTTCTCCAAGGAGGTTCACGCCCTGGAGACCCTTCGCAACCAGGCCATGCGCACCACCAAGGATGGAGCACCGGTGATGAAGCGCTACTACTGCCAACTACACGCTCTCCAGAATCGATTTCCCCAGCTGGCGGATCGTGGGATCTTCACCTTTACATGGAAGGATCTCTATCACAGTGCCGTTCACGAGGTCAGCGACCTGCGATTCGAGCGGGCCGCCGTGCTGTTCAACATTGCCGCATCGCACACGCAATCCGGAGCATCTGTGACCCGTGGCGATGTGGACGGCATGAAGATGGCCTGCACACACTTCCAGGCGGCCGCCTGGGCCTATGGAGAGCTAAGAGAACGCTATGCCAATGTCAATAGTGGCGGGGATTTCATGACCCAGGAGCTGCTGGTGTTCCAGCAACAAGTGTGCTTTGCTCAGGCACAGGAATGCATCCTGGAGAAGTCGCTGATTGATAACAGAAAGCCACACATTGTGGCCAAGGTTACGGCTCAGATTGTGATCTACTATGGAGCTGCACTCGCTGCTCTGTTGACCGGAGGAGATGAGGGTCCGGTGGCCCAGGTCATCGATAGCTCTGTTTACAAACTGTGGAAAAAGTACGTGCGCTTCAAGATCAACTATCTGACGTGTATATTGTACCTGTACCAAGGACAACATTCCGAGGAGAAGCGTCAGATGGGCGAAAGGGTCACGCTTTACCAGGTGAGTAAATCTATAAATTCTTTTAGTTATATCTTTAATTGTAATAATACCTACTACAGGCTTCTTGGGACAAACTAGAAGAGGCACGCAAAGAGTCCAAGGGTCTACCCGATCAGCGAGAGATCAATGAATCCCTGAGTTTCACCGCTGATGTTGTGGAGGCTAAGCGTAAAAATGCCAAAAACGAGAACGAGTTCATTTACCACGAGTCGGTGCCGGAACTCTCCACCATTGCTGCAGTCCAAGGTGCCAATCTGGTAAATGGAATAGGCTTTCAAGTAACCGACGAGGAGCACTCGGGACCAGATATATTTGCCCGATTGGTGCCTATGAAGGCCCACGAAGCCAGTTCTCTGTACAGCGAGGAGAAAGCCAAGTTGCTGCGAAAGTATGGGGCCTTGCTGGAGGAGAAGGACACCCAACTGGAGGCCTACATGAGCTCCCTCACTTTGGATAATCTGAATATCAACGAGGAACAGGCTAATAAGCTGCCGCAGGGCATCGTTGATCGCTGTGCTGCCTTGAATGCCAACAAGACTGCTATCAGCGATCTTGTGGAGGCCATGTCTCAGCTGGCTGAGATTACAGCCGATGTGGAGACCAATCTTGGCGAGATATCGCAAATGCTGGAGGCAGAATCCAAAGCGGAGCGGGAGTTCCAATCCGCCAGCGGCGTTCAACGAACTCCAAATGCTCATATTACTGAGTTGACCCGAGAGTTCCAAAAGTACAGTGAGGCCCATGCCCGCGCAGGGGAGTCTAATAATACCCTAAGAAAAGCCATGAGCCTGCACGTAAATAACCTAAAAATCCTGGCCAGACCATTGCCTGAGATTCAACAACTTATGCCCAAACTAAGTTCAGAATTGAATACTACCGAAATCTTTAGGGATGTGAAACTAATACTCAATAAAGTCAACGAAATGAAGGCCCAACGAGCTCAGTTTCATGCAGACTTGAGGATAGCCATCAATGAGGATGATATAACTGGAAAAGTGATTGCCCACGGTGGGCAGGAGGGTCTCCAAGCTTTATTTTCCACCGAACTTTCTAAGCACGATAAGATCACAGAACTTCTGGACCAGAATATGGTGGCCCAGGCCAATATTCTGCAGGCTCTAACGGAAAACTATGCCAAGGCAGCTCCAGTTTTAAAGACACTACAGGATGTGAAGCAGAAACGTGAGCATTTCTACAGTTCTTTGGCGGCCTCTTACGACGTTTATGAGGATCTTTTGGCCAAATCAGCCAAGGGCTTGGAATTCTACAAGAAACTGGCTGGGAATGTGCAGAAGCTGCTTACCAGATTTAGATCTGCCAGGGATGTTCAGTCGGAAGAGCGCCAGCAAAGGATGCAGAGCGTCAAGGCGGCGACGCCTCCAGTGGTCAGCAAGCCCACTCCGGAAGCAGCTCCATCGCCAGCGGTTAGTAGCACTCCCAAGCTGAGGGATTATCTGAAGGCCAAAGCAGCAATGGCGGATGCCTCGAATCCCACAACTCCTGGCTATGTGCCCACAGTGCGCCCGGTGCCGGTGGGTTCAGAAAATCCCACCCAGGCGACTTGTTCCTACGCCACTGCACCGCCGAATGAGCCACCTCCACCATATAGCCTTACTCAACAGCAGTATTTCGACCCCAGTGCCGCAGGATATACGAATCCCATGTATCAACAGCAGCAGCAGCACATTGCTCCTCCGGCCTACAAGGCTCAAGCTTCGCCCAACTCGCAGACCTTGCACGGAGCAATGGCTCAGATGAATCTGCAGAACCAGGCACAGGATAACAACCAAGCGGGCATGGGCTACAGTTACGGATATCCAAGTGGAGCAGTGCCACCGCTGGCCTATGCTGCACCTGGAACAGCTCCCGCAAGCTCAGCTTCCCAGGGATTTAACGTCCAGCAACCGTTGTATGTGGCCACTTCGGGTAATCCCAATCCGGTTGCAAATCCCAGCGAGGTACCCACCTCCTTGCAGGCACCCTTTGTGGTCAATCAAATGTCCAATCCTTACCAAACAGCCGGAGGCTATCCAGGACAGGTTTATCAACAAACTCAACAGGCAGCTTATCCACCGGCAAGTTCTGGTTACCCAGCAACTCCGCAGTCCTTGGGTTATACTCCAAGTCAGCAGCAGCAATCTGCGGCATATGCGCAATCCCAAACACCACAGCAACAGGTGGCAGGCTATCCGCAACAGCCATCAACAGCATATTCCCAATCTTTGACCCCTCAGCAAGCTGCAGGATATCCCCAGTCACAGGCGCCGCAGCAACAGATGACCGGCTATCCCCCATCTCAACAGCCCACGGGATTTACCCAGTCGCAAACGCCTCAACAACAGCATACAGGCTATCCACAGACACCGCAGCAACAGACAGGAGGATATCCCCAAACCCAAACACCGCAGCAACAAGCAACAGGATATCCCCAAACCCAATCGCAGACACCACAGCAACAGCCAGGAGGATATCCCCAGTCCCAGACACCGCAGCAACAGCCAGGGGGCTATCCCCAATCCCAAACACCGCAGCAACCACTGGCATATCAGCAGCAACCATCGGGCTATCCACAACAGCAGCAATCTTCGGCTGTTGCTCCTCAGCAACCTTCTCTGTATCCCTCTCTAGCTCCAGCTCCTGGCGTTTCTCCTGTTCCGAGTCCTGCTCCAGCTCAGACTCAAGCACCTACTTCATCTCAAGCTGTCACATCACCCAATCCTGGAGCCACCTACAGCAGCTATTCCAACCATCCTGGGTACAGCTTTAATCCCCAGACGGGTCAATACGAGTACAGCAGTGGCTATCAGCAGGAAAGCAGTGCCTTGAAGGGATCCCAAGCATCTCAGAATTACCAGTTCAGCCAGAGTGGCAAGCAGCAGTCGGTGGGAACCACAGATTCGGAGAACGCCAATCGCAGCAATTCGGCTACGGGATTCAATGTGAGTAATAGATAGACCCAATTTGGAGATCCTAAATAACTAAGACCTTTATCACGCAGTCACCTATCGTGTCCCACACAAAAGCTAATCAGCCAGCCAAGGACTCCACTTCGGCGGAGGAGGGTAAGGAATCATCCAACTACTATTCTGCTCCCTATGGCTACCATGGCAGTGTAACGCCCCAGCCGCACCAACAGCAGCCCACTCCCACGCCTCCAACAGGCTCCATTTACATGCTGAGCGGAGCACAGAGCACAGCTCAGACGCAAACAACCACGAGTGGACCACCATATGCCTCCTCCAGCGCTACAGCCAAGGCGGAACCCAAAGCGGAGGTAGTGGCTCCCAAAGTAACCAGCAATGTGGATCTGCTTAGTGACCTGGACATCGACTGCTCTGTGGCTGTGCCGCCGCCCATGTTGCCGCAACCTGTGATGCTGCCGCAGGTGGTGGGCACTCCCACGCCTCCGGGAAGTCAGGTGTCGGCTCCCGCTAAAGCTGAAAGTGTGGTAGAGGTAAATATCTAAAAATCATATTGTATTATTTTTTAAACAAAAATTCCCTTCAGCCCATTGCGCTCAAAACGCCAGACATTCCCCCAGCAGCCGTGGAAGAAATATCTTCAACTCCAGCTTCTATACCATTAGCTCCAAAGTGCACCAGTCTGGACAACCTCTCCAACTGTTCTGATCTAAGTTCTCTGGAGAACTTTGATTGGGACTCGGTCTCACTTACACATTCCGTCAGTGAAAATCAGCAAAAGGCACCTGCCGCCAATGGCCATTCGAACAATTTTGCATTCCAAGCCGAAACCTTTACCGATGAAAAGACCACCAAATATTTTCAAAAGGAGGTGGAGAGCTACGAAAAATTGCTGGAGAATCTTCATGTGAAAATGCTGAACGGGAAGACCCAACTGGGGGCCAAGTGGCAGGAGTTGCAGCAGAAACTGGACAAAGACGCTAGTGCCAACAAGCGGTCCACCACCATTGCGAAATTGTTCCCGGAGAAGAATCGATCGCTCGATTGCCTGCCCTTCGATCATGCTAGAGTGAAACTGGACAAGCAGACAGATGACTATATCAATGCAGCTTACATGAAGGTTGGTCATCATCAATATAAAAAAATATAGCTTAGAAGATTTCAATGTCTTGAGTCCGAATCTAAATTATTGGCAAACTTATTATGTATTCTAAACTCCCAATCTTTTATTTTAGAACTTGAGTGCCGGCTGTCCTAATTTCATCGTTGCCCAGACTCCGCAGGCGAATACCATCAACGATTTCTGGTCCATGATCTGGTCAGAAAAGTCACGCACTGTGGTTTGTCTACATACCACAAACGAGGTAACATTAAAACCAATATCTTAAAGTTTTATTTTTAATTATACCAAATTATTTGTATAGCTTTTTGATCCCTACTGGCCTCAGACACTGGATCAGACCACTCACTACGATGATTACACCGTGACCTGTGTGAAACTACAGCAACTTAGCCACTGCTCCGAGTACCAACTCAAATTATCCATGCATGGAGCAGATGCCGTGCTGGATTTATCTCTTCTGCAGCTAAAACAGTGGACCAAGGGGTACATATTAAGAATTACGTTAAGTAAAAAAGAAAATTTAATGTATTTATGATAATCTTTTACAGAGCACCTGCTCAACTTTTGGGAGTGGCTCAAAATGCGCTGGAGACCCATCGACAGCGCTGCCAGGCAGCTAATGCTCCTAATTCACCGCTCATTATGAATTGTTTAACGGGCTCCGAGCGTTCTGAACTGGTTGCCATTGGTGTATGTGCCATCATAGCCACACAGAACAAGCAGCCCATTTTGCTTAGTATGTATATTTTAGTTAAGATTGGCGTTATATAACATTGTTAATATTCAAATATCCCCTTTAGATACGGTTGATGTTTGGTCGCGCATTTGTGCACAGCGTCAAAATTCCTTGAGGGATTCAGCCATCCTGGAACAGTCCATGCAAATCGTGCTTTGCAATGCTCACAATGTCCTTAACAAGCGTAAGAACTTATAAATTCCCTTGGGTATACTTTCATTTCAACAAAATGTATCATGCAGGTGGCATAATGACCTCATATCAAATGAAGATGGCTCCGCAGGTGACTGCCAAGGAGCAGCAGGAGACCAAGGATCCGCTCAACGAATTGGATGCACTTTGGAAGCTGAAATAAACGACTGAACCAACCAATCGCGGCAGTTAACTAAAGATATATTTCTAATCAAACACGAGTATTTATACAACTATTTAATTTTGCAAACCTGTTTTCAACGATCTGACATTGTTGTAAACAATTTAAGGCAAGAGAAAAGTATTTAAAGGGATATCGAAATCATTTTTTTATCTATATCATAATCGACTCTTTCAACTGTTATATAAAGTGTATTTCGAAGCGAACCGAATCGTGATGTTAATGGGATATTGTCAAGCGTTTCAAACCACTCTAAACGAGTATATTATATATCAATTAAACATTTAATAAAATACATACAAATCAAAAGCATTCCTGGTGAAAAATGTCATTATAGAGAACTATTTGTTGTGCCAATTTGATAACAATCATGAAGGTGATTACCATCCGTTGGAAGACTTGCTTGCCAGGTCTTATAGCTATTACTTATATATTAAGTGCCCTGCTGTTTTTTGGAATGGATATAAACCATATTGAGCCCCTGGAACCCAAAAAAGTAAAAAATCAGACTAAGATATTCAGAAAGATTGTAAAAACCGACCATAGACCTCATGGAAGAAACCGGGAGAGTGTTTTAAGCAGTCCAGAGGTGAAGCCCCGATATCGCTTTAGCGGCGGTAGGACTGGAGTTAAGTTCGTTATTGGAGTGCCCACTGTACTGCGACCCAAGACAAACTATGTGCTCCAAACCGTGAAGTTCTTAATCCGTCGGATGACTCCGGAGCAGCGCGACAATACCCTAATTGTGATTTATGTGGGTGAAACCAAGCTTCAGTTTGCCAAGTTCATAGTAAAGGAATTGAGCGCGAATCATTCGATGCATATGCGATCGGGTCTCATCGATGTGATTGCTCCACCATTGAATTACTATCCAAACTTCTCGAGACTGCACATCACTCTACACGACGATCCGCAGAGGGTTCAGTGGAGGACCAAACAGAACTTGGACTACATATACCTGATGTCCTATGCCAGAACTAGGGGTTCTTATTATTTGCAGTTGGAGGACGATGTGTTGTCGAACGAGGGATTTATGGATTACATACAGAAGTTTGCCCTGTTGCATGGGCACTTTCGGTTTGCCCACCAGCCCGATTGGATTGTGATGAGCTTCAGTGACCTGGGTTTCATAGGGAAGCTCTTTCCCACCGCCGTTCTGAGTTCCTTTGTGACCTACCTGCAGCTGTTCTACAATGACCAACCCATTGACTGGCTTCTCCAGAGTTTTGTGACCCTGCAGAGCTGCCGCTGGGATAGTATTTCCAATCAGGATTGCCAGAGGGACTTTGAATCCAGATTACTTCGTGCCGCCCAATCTCAGTTCCAGCATATGGGCGCCTTGTCCTCGCTGGCGGAAAAGAAACAGCACCGAAAGGATGGTTTATTCAACCAGAATCTTGGCAGGCAGCGCATGCAACATCTGCGCCAACCCCTTAATCTGATCGCATCCCACCGGAACTCGCTCATAAAACAGAATCCCAACCTGCAAACGGGAGAAACTTTTATTTGGATCTATATGCCACAGATGCCCAAGATGATGAGGTATCTGATAAAGAATCAGTACAAGAAGACACAGATCCGCATTCGTAATTCCAAGGAAACGGAAATAAATCTGGCCGAGTTCAATGTAGAATTGGTGAAGGGGTCGCCCAAATTGGTGATGAACAGCTCATCCACCGAACAATGTGGTTTCGTTATGAGCCATACTGTCCAACAGGTTGATGAAAAAGATGAGAATGGCGAAAAAATGCCTTTTAACTACATGTATTACTACATAAGGGAAGGACCCGAGGGCCTCACCTGGTTTCGAAGATTTCTTTGGACCTCCAACGGATCTTGTGGCCAAAGATTGGGAAAGCTGATCATGGTTTTAGCAATCTTAATTTTTTACGTCGGGAATGATGAGGAAAATAATTTTTTGTAAAATTTATAAGCCACATACTTTAAAGTTATTAAAGGCACATAAGAAAGTTCCATTTCAAATATTTGAATTATTTATTAAGCTTATACACACATTACACGCATATTTGTTTGTTCTTGTTTGATTCGATTAAGTTTTGAGTTCTCCCAACGGCTTATGAATATTGTAAAAGTAATTTGTAATAATTCAGCTACGATCGTTTTGTGTTTTTGTGTCGTGGAAGGGGAAGCCTATAATGCCAGCTAATGTATAATTCAGTTTGATCACTATTAACTATTATTGTTGCTTGTTAATTGGTTGCAATTTGGCAAAATTAGTGTTTCGGGGAGAGCGAGTGCTGTAAATTATTGTTGCTAGTTGCCGCACACATAACACAGGGATATATAAAAATATATTTATGTACGTATGATTATGCCATAGTAAGTATATGCAAAACATTTGTTTAATTTGTTCAGTTTATCGAAAGCAGTCTACAATATTTGTTTCATTATATATAGCGGCACATGAAATGAAGTGGGATTATTATTTAAAAATTCAAAAATGCATTGCATCGAACTTAAGTTATGAATATATGCCACTATATATTACAATTCTCGTCATTCAACAGGAACCAAGTTTAAACAATCATCTCATTCTTGTTTATTCGCTTACAGTTTTGTCATAGTCTATCAAAAAATTTGGCGTTTCCAATTAGTTAAACCAATTATAAATTTTGTTGTATGTATATAAAAAAGGTTTTCTTTGTATGTTTTTTTTTTCATTTGGAATTTTGTTCTAGAATAGCTAATCAGCGATGTTTAGTTTATATTTACGTGTATATATAATTTAGGTTTTTATTTCCTTCATTGTTATGCAAAAATTATTAACAAATCACAGTAAAAAAGCAACAATGCTAAAAATCGTTTCGTTATTTTATGCTTCAATGTTTATGTTAATGCGTTTTATATTTATGTGGTTATGGCTTCATGTTCAAGGAGGTGGCTTTATATAACTGATTCAAGCATGCTGGATGATTGCATAAAATTAAGATAAATTATTAGAGTAGAGGAATACTTCAAACCAATTAATACAGTAATTAAACTTAGGTGTATAACAATGTTCTATTGTATCTTATTTTGCATATTTGATCGATAAGATTTCAGCGAGTTCGAGATTCATGATCACGTGAAAGTTCAGCGAATGAAAACAAAATAAATTGGAATGTTTTTTTCAGCTGCCGATAAAATGAGGTTAACACTTAAAGCTAAAGCAAAGTAAACCAAATGATACTATTCGAGTAACAAAGAAATACGGGGGAATCGCTTCAGTTACATAGCCCACAACTTGATCCACACAATATTTATCAATAGATTTTACCACCATGAAAAAATGGAAGGGGCACTTGGAGTACATATATCAAATCCATATGAAAAAATACACTGATAGCTTGGGATTCGGTAAGAATTACAGCAGACTGCAGGCCAATGATATTGCCGAGTTTTATAACGCTTAAGTTAAAGAAACCCTAACAAATTGGTTCTGGGGATAAATGACAATATTATTGGTCTGCACTCATACCAAAGTCTTAAAGTTGGGTATAACCACTTATAGTTAGGAGAGCGAGAGAGTTACGTACTGGGGGATTATTTACACATCGAGATAATTGAGGGTAAAAGCATCATTCGAAAAATATACACATAGATGTACAGATATTAGGAGGGGTCGATTTGTTTCAATGCAAAAAACATGAAAAAGTCTAGAGAGCGAACCTATTGTTACAGCATCGATAGAAAAATTCTATTGAATATTCTAAACAACTTTTCACGCAACTACTTTAAAATACTAATTTGCTCTCAAGACTTTTTCTCAACGAAATCGACACAATCCCAACAGATATAGACAAATTGTGGATGGGGATTAAATTGGACATTAACTGGAGGGGATTTTCCGGATTTCTGCTCTTATTCCTCCCAGTCCTGTCGCTGCCTGTGGCGATGTAGCAATCAGCTGCCCGCCACAAACCGTGGCTTCGCTGCATTCGCCTCCGATTTCGGATCGCTGCCCCACTCCTGTAGTTCGATCTCGCTGAGCAGGGCCCAATTCTCGCTATCGCTGTGCACGTGGAGGCGCAACTCCTTGATAGCACCAATCTTAGCATCCAACAAACCCTCGGCCACGCCTAAACTATCAAATGAACCCACTACCAGATAGCCATCCGTGGTGGTGTTGTAGTTGCTCCACACCGAGGAATTCTCGCTCAGCGTATCGGCCGGCAGCAGCTCCACCGTGGTGTTGTAGAACCTATCCGAAGGATGCTCCGAGTTTCCACTCCGGAACAGATAGTGTCTCAGCTGCGTGGGTCGCTCGAATACAATCTGCACCAAATCCCCGGGCTGTGGCAGCAGGCCCCAGAAGTAGGATTCACCTCTATATGCTCGCTTCAATAGGTAGTTCTTGTAGGGAGCAATGTTGGACTTAACCAGAGCCGGTGGATTGTGTGTATGGGCATAGTACTGCGGCACCTTGCTGCCAAACTGCTTATCTTTTAGCTTTTGCACCTTTCCCCTCAACGATGAACTCGTGCCAATATGTTGGAATAGGGACTTTCGAAAGTGCTGCCAGTACTTTGCCTTTTCCGCATTGCAATGCTTTTGATCTTTGTCCGTTCGACACACCTTGGACTCGATAAAATAGGTGAGCAACCAGTCCACGGGCTTGTCGTTGTAAAACATTTGGAAATAGGTGATCAGGTATGGTAGCTCCGCACTCTTGAACATCTTTCCAATAAAGCCAAGCTGACAGAAGTCCAACACAAACCAGGCCGGCTGATCGGGTTTGGTCAGGGCGCTCTTGATCAAGGCGAATTTCTTCATGGTGGTTATAAACTGCCGCTTGGTCAGTATATCATCTTCCAGTTGAACGTAGAAGGTTCCCTTCGAATGCGCATATGCCATCAGGTAGGCAAAGTCCAGATTCTGCTTACTGCGCCATTTAACGCGCTCCAAAGGATCGTTAAGGGTGATGCGGAGACGCTCGAAATTGGGATAGTAACTAGGAGCCGGTGCTATTATATCAATCAGTCCACTTTCCACGTACTGCTCAAAACTGGTCTCGATTTGCCGGGCAATCAGTTGCACTGAGTCTAGATCTGTTTCTCCAATATAGACAATGATAAGCGTTTCGTTCTGCTCCTCGTCGTTCATGTTCTCGATGAGATTGTGGAGGGTTCCGAGGAGATAGGATTGCTTCTCCCTCCTCACGGTGGGCACACCCAGAACAATGCTGACATCCGAACGTCCCTTGCTTTGCAAGTAAGCCGGTCGCAGGGAACCCGCATCGTCCAGGAGATGCGGCAGAAAGTGATAGGCATTCGGGAGTCTTATATTCTGACTCCTGGCCATCGAACCATTAGCACCGCCACCTTTACTGAAGTGCGAGGCATTTCTCAGTAGCTGCCTGGCCTCGGGACTCAGTCCGTCTAGCAGATTGGCTACCGGCAGAGGTGGCGGAGGTGGAGGAGCACTCGCCCCCGTTCCATTGACACTCTGCAACTGACCAAGGTACTGGGAAAGCAGCGCCACATCCTCCTGGCGAGCACGGTACATGGACTCCAAGTATTGCAGCCGCATATGGCATTCGGCCAGGCGCTGGGTCAGCGACTGTTCGGTGGATAACTCGGGTCCCATCACCATCAGGATCACGATGCAGGGCGCCAGCACCAGGGCCGTCACTATCAGCATACAGTTCCGCTGCCTAATCTTGAACATCTTTCCCGCTCCCCTGGATTCCTTCGCTGGCTGTTGTATTAATTAGCTAACTGTTTGCCTTGGGGCTGCTTGGCTTCCGCCGCTGGGTTGGCTTTTGGCTCTGGCTCGGTCTCTGGTTCGTTCTGCTGGCGCCGTTCCCTGGGGCCGGCTGTCATCCTCATTCCTCCTATGACTAATGCAGGCGCTGCAATAAAAACAAGGCACTTGGTTTTTACACGGGCAGAAATAATTGATTAAAGATAGGTAAGTATATGCTTATAACAAAATGAAAATGATATATTATAGATCTTCCACATAATAATGTAATAGACCTGTATCTGAGCAATGGAATTTCTAATATATTTTGTTATTATGAATATAATCATAATGATTTTAACCCAATTTTACAGATAAGGTTTCGTAATAGGTATCCATTTCCACCTATGTATCATATTAATATATTAATTTTCGTTTTTGTGCATATTTTCTCTTTTTTTCCCAATATAATTATTTTTAAACGAGCAAAAAGCCTTGTATTATTAGCAAAATAGTACATTACTATAAATACTGGCTAGTCGTTTTCAGACGTGTTTTTCTATGGAATACAAGTGTAGTTGTTAATTTATTGTTCTTTTTTAGAGTGTGCCTGGGTAGGGTGGCCCTTAGGGTGAGTGATTTGAAGGTCGCACCGTTTAACGGTCTTTGTAGATGCCTTTTGCCTTACCCGGGTTGGATTAACGACGTCGTCGGTGGTGGCAGCTGTCGCAATTCTCGCCACATGACCTGGCCGTGAGTATAGAATAATAATAATTGTTATGTACTGTGCACTCGAGACGTTGGCAGGCAGTAGACCTAGACTTACATGGCCAAGACCCCGGAAAGCTTTGTTCTCGTCGCCGCCAAAAGTTCGATCGGTATCGGTGGGTCTGAAAGTGGAGGAAACGCTGTTTACTGATTGTTAATTGGTATAGTTGGGGTCTGGCAAAGACAAAATAGGGTATTTATATCGCTAGACGGTTGTATAGGCCTGGTATAATTTATGGGTCCCTTCGGTATCTACTTTTTGATATTATAAATTTCCCAAAGATTAAAAAATAATCAAATTATTCGGAAGCAATTGCCAACAACATTTTAATTTATTATACCCTAAGGAGTATACAAAGTATTCCTTATTACTTATTTTATAAGATGTTGATAACAAATAAGCTGGAAGTTTTTCAAGAATAAAAAAAAGCATTTAAACACAGGCGTTGTAAAAATATCTAAAATAGTTTTTATTTCTTGTTTGATAAGTTCAGTAATAAATATATATGTTTGTAAGAACTAAGGGTTTGTAAATGTTTCTTTAAATTCTTTTTTCACACGTCGTATATAATAAGGACAACAAAATAATTTATGTTCCGTGAGAATTCATGGTCCTTTAGAATCGTCAGGACTGAATTTAATTAAAAGTTCGAGAAGTTCGAGTTCAGAGAAATAAACTGCATACTTTATGGATCCTAATGTACATTTCTATAAAATTTAAATTTTGGTACCCCCTTTTTATGGGATCTCTTTAACCGGGTATAATTTATTCGAGATCGAAGATCATATTTCGGGCAATGTGCGAACGTTAACAATGTGGGGATATGAATTTTCGCACTCCGTTTAGCGTACATAGGCGAAAGTAAACAGTAAACAATGGATAAAAAAGATAAACAGATAAATAGGTAAATAAACAGGAACACCCAAAAGTTCGCACCCACGCACATACACACGCATAAGCACACACACCGCACACCCTTATTTACTCACACTTGATTGCAGCTCAAATAGGCGAGTAAGTGAATTAATTAATTAATAAGCACTTAAATAGGAACAAATTGAATGCAGTGGCCTCTGTTTATGCCATCTATGGATTTTGTACGCTGTGTGTGTTGTTGCCAATTCGAAGTTTTTTCCCCTTTTCAGGTGCTCCCCGATTTTTCGCCATACGTTTTCGCACGCGTTTTTCGTTGTTTTTACATCTTTTCGTGGGCCCGCCGAGTGCGTTATGTAAATGCAAATGATGTAAATTATTGCAGCACCGCGCGATTGCTTTGCTTTGCTATTGTTTAACGCAAAATACAGCGGGGAAATTGGTTTCAACGCCCCGAGCAAAAACAACAACAGGCTGGCCCAGCAATCGTTATCGATTCGGGGGTTGCCAGACAGTTTCCGCTCCTTGACATGGTCACTCTACTCGTTATGGTTAACAGAGAAAGTTATTGTTGTAAAACAGCGCCAATCAGATTTATTTAAAATATATATGAAATGCTTAAGAAAAACCACAAAATAAATAAAACATTTGAGTAAATGTTAGTTATCATATAACAATATACCTTATATAAATAATATTTTAATTGATTTCAAATGTATCTTTCCGTTATATACGCAATATGGCATCTCAGGCTTTAACATCGTCTAACGTCTGTTAAACCAACAACAGGTACCTGGAATTTTCCCATCTCTAGCCGCTATATAAATAACAAAAGATTGCAAAAATGTATTTAACTTTGTTAAACGGTACCGGCTTTGTTTTTAATGTGGATGGTAAGCTGTCTAATTGTCTCCGGTAGCAGTATTATACAATTTCAACGTTTATTTCAGACTATATGGAATTGCGGAGCAAACATCGCATAATGGGTGCTCCTGTAGGCACCGCAAACACCAAAGGCTGGAGTCCCAATCAGTCCAGTGAGTTTTTCCTGAACCTTATACATATTTGCATAGTCTACACCGATTTGTCTTAATATTTAAGTATGGGTACCTCGCAGCTATTTACAACCTATGTTAATATATATATATCCTTAGAGATCCCTTATAATATGTTTTTGCTTGCAGCTCTTCCCGTGGAACTGACTAAATTCGAAACCCAGTTAATTTTGGATGAGAATATAGCAAAATTAGTGGATAAATCTCAGGACTTGATGGCAAAACCCACAGCGGAGAAACTGGAGGAGTACAAGGCAGACTTCGAATCCCGTTTACTGGGACAGGAAGAAGCATTAAAGACCGAAAAGCTTCGGGAAACTGAAAGATATATGGATAAAATCCTGACGGGAAAACGAAAAAAGTTGCTTAAGCAGGGGAAACAAGAAATGGGTAAGTACTATCGATTTAAGATATTGTGTCCCCAACTTATATTCAAACTAAAATTCGTTTAAAAATGATATCATTGTATTAATGGTACATATTCTACTTTTTATTAAAACTTAATAACTTTTTATTTCCCTTTTTAGCTGCAGCTCTTACAGCCGATGATGTACTGAAGGAAATGTCGGACAATTTTAAATTCGATCGTCAAAATGCCTTGGTGGAGGTGCCATGTGAACATCTCAGAAACCATTGTAGATATAAAAAACGTATACCTCTTGATAAGATAATTCTAACAAGTTTTCAATACGACCCACAGCTGCTCAAATAGTTACTAGAACTCTTGTCGACGTCAGTTGCCTGAAATACCGCATTTTCAAAGATCTTTGGAAGCGGGGAAAGTTCGTAACCTCCGGTGACGCATTTGGAGCGGACTTTCTGGTTTATCCGGGTGATCCCCTGATCTACCACGCCTCGCATATAGTGATTGTGCTTGAGAAACCAGTAATTAAACCCTTGGAACTGGTGGCCAAAGTTCGTCTATCGGTGATTGTGAATAAAAGCTGCGTATTTGCTTTCGAGAAGGAAAATGATGATGGGATCCATTACCAAACTGTAGCATGGTGCAATCCCAGCAGGTGATAAAATAAAAGGCAAGTAAATCATAGAAAACTTGGATACTTAAATTTTTAGAGGATAGTAAAAATTTTCATCAACTATCCTCAACTATAAAATTATAAAATGATGATTATAGATTTAAGATCATAATTTTTTCTTTTAAATTAGGAGATCCACAGAAAAGCTGCCCAGTGTAGTACATATTTTTGCTCCAAAGATTCTATTTTTTAAGATTGAGCGGGAGAGAGTGGGATTTCCGTGAGCACGGGTTTTGTTTTGGCGCCGAATTGGGTTTATTTTTTTAGAGGAAATTGGATACAATGGCAGAGACACGTTGCTCCCGCTCCGCCCCCACTGCCCGCCGCCCCTCTTCTCCTCTCTGGCGGCCTCTCCACGTTTCTCCGTCTCGCTCTGAGCGGCAGGAGCAGCGCCAGAAACCGTTTCTCCCACTCACAGTTGGAAATTGTGCACAGTAGACATGGTAAAAATCGGTTTATTATGACCACGACATCCAACTCGAGGAGATGTTTGCTCGCCACTTTGTTCAGGGTCCGCAGTTCCAGTTTTTAGGCGGTAACAAAGAGACTGTAAAGTTTTGTTAAATTAATTAGTGATACAGAATGAGGTTATAATTTAATGGCCCCCCCACGAAACGGCGGAACCCAGACACGCAAACAACGATAGGCAAACACGTCGCACACATTTGCGTATTTGTTTTCAACAAATTTGTGCTGAATTCTTCATGTTTTGCGTTCGTTTCAAGTATATTCAGTTTTTTTTTTAAATAGAAACAGCAACGACGATAAGGCGCGGTGGGGAAGGCCAGGCAAAAGTCGTGCCACGCCGTTCGAATTTCATATAGTCGGGTTGTCGCACAGTGGTATAGGACCCTTTTTCTTTTGACATGATTCACCTAACAAGAATTCCACATACAGTGATTATGATTATTAATTTATTCTACCGTATCATTTTCAAAAAAGGTTCCTAATATATATAGAATATTTGAAAGTGGGAACAGTAACCAAATAAACGTGGTATTTCTGGGTCCATACCTCTAGGTCTCTTGTTTTAGGAAAAAAAGATTTCATTTTATTTTGCTGTTCATGTAATAAATTTGTACAAATATGAAAAACCACCATTCCATTTAATATTTCCCACTTTTACGCATGTGTCATCCCACTGTATTGGCTGCGCGCTCATTCTACGCCCCCCACTCCCCATTCCGCTGCCCCAACCTCCACCACATCGCCTCGTCACCCACCAACACCCTCCGCCTCGTGCTCGCGCTCTCCCTCTCCGGCCATGCTCCGGTGGTCGGCATTGCCAGCTGCGAAACATGCTCACTGCTTTAACGCCGATTGGAACTTTAAAGGGGCCTTTCGAACTGCATTTCTCATGGTCCTCTTCCCCGTCCCCCAGCAGCATCAAAACAGAGAAAATTGTAATCTTAAAAATTCGGCCACTCGCTCACTTTATATTACTTTCTTCTCTGAGCGTTGGATAGAACTGCCACTCTATTCCTCTCCTCTCCCTCGGTTTGGATTTCGACTAACTTCCCTATCGCGGGGGTCTCTCCGCTCTTAAGCGGGACTTGATCTGCATATGAGAATGGAAATGGCTATATATTTTACCCCGTAGATTCTGGGTCTCTGAGATGTGTCGAAAGTAACAGGTGATTGGCAAGGAGAGAAAAGAGTCGGAAACAGAGAAAAGAGAATGTAGAGCGTAAGAGCGAGCCGGCTTTTCTACAAGTTGTTATTATTTTCGCAGGATCTGTTGATATTTTGGAACCAAGTACTCACGAATTGCTAGTCTGGAACAATTTAATTCAGTACCTAAACAATGTTGATATGGAATCTTTATAGATTTATTAGATTTGATGTCTGTTTCCATTCGACCTTTACCGCTTTCGAACCTTTCTTAAAAAATAGTAAGCAATAGTAAGTAAAGGAAACATCCTAAACATTTATTATCAGTTTATGAGTCTGAACAACCCAACTTTATTTTGTTATACACTTTAGTGTAGTATGCTGAAAAACTAAATAGTTTCGAACCTCAACCTGAATACCTTTCTAATCCCTAAATTCACTTAGAATTTAGAAATGATTTTTAACACGTCTTAGCTTTAAAATTTATCTTGAATAAATGGAATAGGTTTTGAGCCCGCTCGAACTTTTTATCTCTAGTTTTAATTTGAAAGAATTACTAGTGCTAGTCGAAGGTCACGTACTCAAGCTTTTTTTAAAATTTCTTTTAATTCGTATCATTAAATTATACAATCGTATAATTAGATTACCCTAGAAAGGCCAATTTTTGAATGATTTGCTCCCGGATCCAATAGTTCTGGAGCCCCATGACCTTTCTTAACGCGCACAGAATCCGTCCGACTGGTTGCAAGCCACATGTGTTTTGGGTCCGTGTCGGCCCAGAATATCTCCATTATTCAATATTTACCACCTTTTATAGTTTTGTTTACTATCTTGCCGACCTTTTTTTTGCCTCGCCGTCTTACTCTCCTCTCCCTGCCTAAAAATACTCTTCCTGCGCTCCATCTGGCAATGCCGCTCGACAACTGTACTTCGAAGAGCGTTGCCAGGCCAGTTCTCTCAACAACACCACAACCACCACCGCCACACGGACACACCGACGCACGCACACGGGCGCAAAAGCAACCACCACCAGAAATTCAGAAATCGTATTTTCTCCCCCGTGTAGAGAACTGAAAAACTGGCCGCGCTGGCAGCGCCGGAGCAGCGAAATTCGATCGAAGCCATTTACTCAGTCTCAGTTCGAGTTATCCAACGTTGGCGAGCGGACAAACAGCAAACAGCAGGAGAAAAAAGCGTACGGCCAAGAGAAAGAGAAGGCAAAGTCACCCACAGCGCCACAGCATTGAAATTTTCTTTTGCGCTCCGGTGAGAAGATAATTTCACAAACCCAACCGAAAACCAGCCAACAAAACAACAAGAAAAAGTGCGCTCCGTGAGCGGGAAAACAATAACAAAATCTAGAGACACTCGGATTGATTATAAAACGGAAAAAATTGAGCAAAGAAAAAAAATCAAATGCGTGTCTCATGGCTTGACTGTACTGTGTATTAAAAAATGTGACCGAGTGTATGTGTCTGTCCTGTCTGCGTTTGTGAGCGTGTGTCTGTGTGTGTCTGTGCACTGTTGGCGTTTTTAAATGTGGCGCGCTATTTTTGTGTGATTTTTGGTCGTCAGCAACGAATTTTGAAACAAATATTTTATGCCATTCCCCCCTTGTGAAAAAGTCGTCGCTCCTCCAACAACAAAATTCCTGTGAGCAGCAGCCTACACACATGCGTTGTCTCGCTCTCGCGCGCTCTGGCCCCCCAAAAGAGTGCGAGAGCGGGAGAGCGACAGAGACGGAGAGAGAGTGAGAGCTAATAACCAACATATGTACTCTTTTTTA